GGCGCACAGAAGAAGAGGAAGAAGAAATCCGTATATCCGTCATTGTTGGTGAAAAGTCAGTCTCGAGCATAGAAAAGCCCCTATTGAGTGTACGCTACTTATTCTTCGAGTGGACACTGCAAAGAATTTTCCCGAAAAAAAGAAGGTGAGCAGTAGACGATTCGTCGTCGTATTATTTATTCGACGGCGGGTGGTCAACTACTTTGAATTAACAGGATGACCGCATCGCTGGTCGTCCGCGCACATATTCGAGAGAGTCAAGAGAGTTACGGTATTATATGTATGACTATCCTAACTTTTGTCTTTTGTTGGAATTCTGCTACGACGGTTTGAGGCACTGCGTTTATAGATCGAGCAATTTTAGCGATGCTCGGTAAACTTGTAGGTCGCGTATTAGAACTCTGAAGCTATAATTTGCTGGATTACTTCCATTTCGCTAATCGAACTTAGTAAATGTGTGGGAGTGCTGTAAGTATGTACAAGTCAGTGAAGTGGTGGGTAACTTTAGGTTGTACTTATCATCAGTATTTTCCCCGGGCACGAGTATGACTCTGCGATATACGAGACAAAAGCAAAGATTTGCAAAAATGATTAATAAATTATTGAAGCACCTTTACATTGTCAAGTAAAACTGAAGCATTGTATCTAGGTCGATCATGGAAAAGTGTCGATCCAAGCAGAAACCTCAGCAACGAGTATGTCATGCCGTAGGCCACATACAATTCCCGCGAGAATTTTTCGAAGGGGTGAGGTGGAGGGCGATGGGAGGCCACGGGGGAGCGATGAATAAGGAAGCCGCTGCGTGGGAGTCACGCCTCCCTTTCCCAAAACGGTCCATTTGTCCAATATTTCAGCCATAGCCCGTAGCTCTTTGTTTTGCACATGAGCGCGTGTGACCTACTGATTTCGATTTCATGACGATCAAGGGGAGCCTCTAAATGTGATTTTTGGTGAATTAGCTTGATGTGTTTTGTGTGAGCACGGACGAGCGATGTCGAGGGTTTCGGATTTTATTTAGGGGATCAAATTTTACGCTTTGGACATTATTGACGGCATTATTGTTAGTAAAGAAAGTTATTAGGATTTTGAAGGGATTATAGCGTCGTTAGGTATTCAAATGGTCACAGTATTATCAGATTATCAGTACGATTACAAATTACAAACAGATTACAAATTGATTAGCTTCAATTTAGTTCAACATTATATTACATTAAAGTATGGTTCTTCGAGTGGGTGCAAAGTGGTCACGATTGAGGAATTCATTAATGATCTAAAATTTACATTAGAATGATACAACGACGATGAATACTGTAGTTATGATAACCGTTGAAGTAAAAACTCGAAAATCGAAGCAAATCAATTGGCAAAAGTAGTAGTAGTAATAGTTTTAGTAGTAGCTCGTCTGTTCGCTCGATTTTATTAGGCACGCAGGAATTCCGCGTAAAAGCGAGCGAGGAAATCAGCAAATAGAACGGCTGGCCGACCTATAATATCAGTCATTTCACGATGGTTTCCACGGAAAAAACTGCCAACTCCAGGCAGGCAAAGCAAGGAGGTCGCGCTTCTTTTATATTTGCTGCGCCTCCAATATCGATAATGCACTGGTGCACGTACGTGTATATGATTATATGGACTTTCAAACAGTCAAACGGATTAGTCGTTGTTATTTTCTTCTTTCTCTCTCTCTCGCGGGAACTGTATGCGGACGCTCGTGTTGAAAAGAAACGAGCTTGTTAGCATATGTGTGTCTGTATATATATATATATATATATATATATATATATATATATATATATATATATATATGCAAGTTATGTGTTTGATCTGTTTGACGATGGCTTTAGAATTGCTAAAATGCATTTTAAAGACGAAGGAAAAAAACTTTTCGCTTGATTATGGATATAGCCGTTTTGCTTTATTTAGTGCAATTAAGATAAGAAGAAAAGTATTCGTTTCACTGCGTATTTTTTTTTTCAACAGTTACTGTCGAATCCTATATTTCTAAACGTTGGTGCAGCCAACATTTAGTATATTTTAAGATCGAGTGAACAGATCAATAAAACTTCATTTAAAAGTAATAAGATTCAGCGGAATTACCTGTAAGTGAAGTTGTATCATGATTGTATCAGCGCCTCCATTTTACATCTTTTCTTTACAATTTAAGCTTAAAGGTTTGAACGTTGTCGCAATCTTATGAAAAATACGATATGTATACTCAGTGATTTTAAAATATAGTTTGAATTGTGCAAGGAAGTGCAGCTCACTTTTTCTATATCTGTGTTTTCTTGTGCCCCTTTTACGAACTCTTTTGAATTTTCCATTTCGATCGCATCAATTTATCATTTAGTTTATCTATTGATATTGTATATTGTAGTTTTGATTATATACTTTTTATACTAATATCCATTCATTATAAAGATCCAAGAGGTAATAAGGTTAGGTTGACTTGAAGTTGTAAGAACTACACGTATTTGGTCACGAGGAAGATGCGTACAAACAAATCGCAGCTTAAAGATATAATGGAGGATATGAATTTGTAAAATGTGTAATTTCACAATTACATTATTCACTACCAAACATAGCAATGAATACCGACTGAACCATTGGAAGAGGATTCAATGCTAATACGAGGCATCCTTGTTATACAAAGCTTCATCGTATCGACTGAATTCAATAAACCACAACGTCGATTATGCTCGTCCATTGCGGATGATAGCAAATTCGATTACGACGGATACAAGGTCGCAAAGGGACTCAACATACAACAACAACAACAAAACTCGCTAAATGAAAATAATCTCGACTCCAATCAGGGTACATTGATACTCGATTCGCGAGGAATAATTCTACGGCTGACTGGTAATCAAAGACCCCCCAGAAGGACGGACTTCCGCGCGTGAGTGCGGGCGGCCAAAGTAGTAATAATCGGTAGCCGCGGTTTCGCTTTGCTAGCGACTCTGTGTACTTGAAAATGAAGATACTTATTGTTTCAGGTTAACAGTTTGATTGGTAAAAAAAGATATATTTTTAAATTACGAATTTCGACGAAAGTACCATTTAAGAATTTTATTTTTTTCTTCATTAATGAATTTCCAGGCATTAAATAATAATCAAACGGAAAAGTCAGACCTTTGAAGGTTTCCTGAGAATTTATTTTTATGATTTTCACCTTGACATAATTGTTCACAATTCGATGTAATTATGAATCGTCTAGCGAAGTGACAGGTAAGAATCACAACTGAAGTAATACTTCAAATGTAATTTATTCAGATACAAGTTTGACATCGCAATTGCGGTATGTATTTGCTTGCAATAATTAAAATGTAAATTACGGCTCTTTTTTTAAATTATACACATGTCGTGCATAAATATTGAATAGCAATTGGTAAATTTCATATTATTCACCTTTGCAGTTAGTACACAATTTTGGTAAAAAAAATTAGTAAGCGTTGGTAATAATAAACGTTATTCACTGAAAAAAAAGAAAAAAAAAGAATCAATTTCATTTGTGAAAAGAAACAACCAAACTCAAGCCACGAAAAATCTCCTTTGTAAGCCCTTAAAGTTCCTGGCACGCGCACCCCAAGCTGCCTCTGTCCTTTCAAGCCGTACTATGAATGTCGCACTTACGTTCGCACCTCGACAAAAGAGATCTCGCACCTTTGGTGTGAAAAATCCACCCCAGGGGTTAGCTGTGTAAGAAGACGAGACATTTCTCAGCGAGAGACGCCAACGTCTCGCAAGATGCAATAAGTAACCGTTCGCCAACGATGATCATTCGCTCTGACGTGTGCAGCCAATTGCAAAGTATTTGCCGTCTGCGCTGAGAAAAAAACAGCACATTAACAATGCGTGCGTACAAAAAATAGGTGGCAGATATATGTTGTCAGGCGTTGTTTTAATTGGCGAACAATGCTGGCTGCTTTGTTTCTCAATTTTCAGGAGGCGCGCCGCGCGGAGCAATTATTTTCAATTGACTGAGCCTGAATGAGCGGCTTGCATTGAATTGTTTGCGATCGTTCAAGAGGCTAATTTCCAAGGGTATTACAATGATCCAGCGAGTGCTTGTTTTGCGACTCTTTGATTATTTAATTAACGAATGCGGGGGGAAGTTTATTTCATGAATAACCAGACGTATTCGTACATATGTGTGTGTATGTGCGTGCGTGCGTGTGTGTGTGTGTGCGCGCGCGCGTGTGTGTGTATGTGTGTGTGTGTGTGTGTGTGTGTACTGAATGGCACGAATGCGTTGTATTGTTCAGGTACGCTTGAATCTTTTCGTTGTGAAAAAACTGCTGTCTTTTATATTTCTATTGCTCACGGTTTTGGCTTTCAAAGTGCGTATGGCAGCGTTTAGCCGATAATGCTTTTCCTCTGTCTATATTTGATCAAGTGTTAATTTTCAGTTAACAGGTGAATAGTGACGTATTTAATTATCTGCTCGCCGCCAAATTTGTCAAAGAGAATATAAATAGTTTTTCTGAAAAGAATGTAATAAATCGACGGTGCTCTTCATCGATTATTTGAGTTCGCCATTGAACAAATTACTGATGTATTGTTTCCAGTATGCGAAACCTAGCTCGTTCAGACAAGCAATCAACTCACGATAGAGGTGAGAACGTCGTTGAGTAATCTGGAAACATCGATGATTCATAAACATGATACAATAATTTTTTTTATTGTAGATAGGATTGAAAACTATACCAAAAGTTCATCTGAATTGCATGACTGTATTGTTCATCAGATGAAACATCGGCATTTCGAGAATGTTTGAGGATAACAATCTGGTGAGGACTTTCCCATCGGGGTTCAAGCGTCACACTATCAATTCTTTTTACAGCGTTAATTGAGAAAAAAGTAAGTGAAAAAGATTTAAGCTGCGAGAACGATTTAATTTACAATATAATCACTGATGTGAAGTCATAGATAACCACTTAATGAATGCTTCTATATATACTCTGTTGGCTGTTTGCTCTAACCAGTGTAGTTATTCAAGCAAAATGAATCTCATCGCGGTCGTAATTTTTTTTACCTGCTACCTTCTCGCAGCTGTTAATGGCTACGGTAAGTTTTTAATTTTTACGATATTTAAATTTTGTTGTATATTCATTATGATTTGTTCAAATTAAATGGTTTTGCAATAAAAATAAACGTTAATTTTATTGCCGCAGTTATGTGCGGTGAAGGCACATGGGCAAATACGACATGCGTCGACCTATCGACTTGTTCGGAGTACACACAGCCAATAGAAGCATTGTTCAAAACGAATCAAACTGTGCACAAGTTTTTCATATTTCATCATGTTTTACCGGCGATGTGTGGCTTCTCACAATTTATGCCAATGGTGTGTTGTCCGAATCCCAAACCGAAATCTCCAATAGCGCTAGCTGTTCCGAAGGGAGATAGCTGTGGCTCTATACTTTGGAATAGAAATCTCAGTTTAGATGGAAAGCCGACTGATATAGAAGAATTTCCTTGGTTGGCGCTGTTGGAATATAAAATGAGTACGTATTACCTAATAAATTTGACAAAGTAGATATTCAAATCACGTTAAAACGTTAATATTCGATTTGAAATTTCTCAGGAAATCAAAAAAGAATATTTGCCTGCGGTGGGGTGCTGATTAGTGCTCGTCATGTTCTGACAGCAGCTCATTGTCTAGGCTTGAGTCACAACAAATTGATTGGTGTGCGTCTGGGTGAACACGATTTACGAACAGCTCAAAACTGTATCTCTAATCCACAACTATCTTACTGTAGAAAAAATGCCATCGATGTCGGCATCGAACTACAAATTCCACATGAAAATTACGACTTTCTTCGAGGACCTAGTGCCTTCGATACTTTATCTTATGATATAGCAATACTCAAGTTGAAACACTCTGTTATAAGTGACGTTATCAAACCTATTTGCTTGCCAATGGGGCGAGAAACTCCGCTTGATATTAATGTCGCTGGAAAATTTCTATCGGCTGGCTGGGGTATTTTATTTGACCATATCTATCCGAAATCTTTTGTGCAGGTGATGTCGAGGTTGAAAGAGGTCAACAAGACCTATTGCAATACACTATACAGCAGTACTTTGCCCGAAGATGTTATATGTGTTCTTTCCAAGTCTCATACAACTGCTTGCATTGCCGATTCCGGTGGTCCGCTTATGGGTTTCAATAAACAATCAAGGATGATTGTTACTGGAATATATTCTCCAGTAAATAATCAGCCTTGTCGAACAAACGGTGTACCTTCCACATTTATAGATGTACGCAAATATTTAAATTGGATTCATTTAAAGATTCATCAAGACTCATAAAATTTCATTTTAAGTGCCTCTCTAATACTCGTTAGACAATATTTACCTTCTATATTACCTTCTATATAAAAATAAAATGATTACTAATACTTTCAAAACAAAAAAAAGCCGTAGCCAATAGTAAGTAATTATGAACTATATTTATGTTCTCTTTATAGAAGCCATTTTAGTGGTGTATATTGTAAATGTCATAGTTATTAAGGAAATATCATAGGTATTATGGGCGAATGTAGCTCTTGACTTGAAAAATATTTTCATTCGATAAATTTGTATCGTTTTCTTAACACTTTCTCAAAAATATAGCTGTATATCACAAAATAACTTTTCATTGCTTGATAAGGTATTGGAATAAGACTATAAATAAACGAAAGAGTGAGCTTTTTCAGTTTAAAGCTTTAATAGTTCGTTTATGCTTTTACTAATATTGAATCAAATATTTTTGTTCATATTGAGGAAAATTTTCGTAACGATCAATCGAAAAATCATTTTTTATTGCATTCAGAATATATTACTGAATTCACAAGACTTTAATTTTATAAGAACGATTATTCAGTAAATTTTCAATTTATTTGAACCAATAAAACAAACTATTTTAAGATTATTTAAATATCTAGATGAAGTCTTCTGGATTTTACTAATAATAATTATTTAGCCACATTTCCTGCAATAACAATAGCATATTTCAATTTTTTATTCTTTATTTTTAAGAAAAAATTAAGTGAAAATATATTACAGCAAATATTTTACGTTATTGCAAAATGCCAATAAATTACTTACAAAGTTCTAAATAAAATTATTGAATAGTAGGAAAAAAGAAACCCCGAAATTCGTCTTTCGTTTTGACCATCTATAAAACACTCGTCTTTATAAGTCTTCATATGATAAATACAATTGCCTAATAACATCATTAAGTGATTTTTTTCCAAAAAATATATATTTATACTGTTATGCCTTGTTAGGAAAAATACGAAATGTATATTCAGTGACTATGAAATAAAGTTTTAGTTGAGCAAGGCAAAGCAGCTCACTTTTTACATACTTGGTTTTTATTGCACCCCATTAAGAACTCTCAGAAGAGAAGTATGCGAGGCCTGTGATTCCAGTTACGGTGGATTATCTACAGAGCAATTCACCACGCTCTCTTTATTCGTGCATTTTGTTTTTACTGATCTATATTTCAATTATTCATTATTCAATTTTTCGATCAGTGATATATATTGTACTTCTGATTAACTGTTTTTTGCGATGCTATTAGGTAAATTTTGTACACGAATAATTCATTAAATAAACTAATTAAATATAATATACATTATTTTTTTTTTCAAATTAAAATCATTTGATACAGTATCTTTGACTTGGTATTACGAATCCGCTTTTTGTACTCACCAATAAATAAATTACTGATTAAATATTTAAGAATTCAGAGTGAAATTTTATTGGACATGCTCATAATAATGAATGTTCTATTTAAAACATCACTAATTAAATTATAGATACACAATAATAAATTTCATATAGAGTGTAAGCCATACGATAATGTATTTTATTACGGAAAATAAGAATTTGATGTACATATACCTGATCGCATTTCTCAATAATTTATTTTAACAACGTTCACTAGTATGTACAAACTCAAGCGTTGTGCTTTTATTTATTATACTTGTTGCAGTCGTATCAGTGGAATTAAGTTCAATGACTTATATTTATTACTTTTCAGTTTTAATGAATCTTTACAAACATTTCGTTTGCTCAAATTACAATAGTCAATGCACGTTAAAAAAATTTTTACTAAACCCAATCTAATACATATCTAAAATAAAATAAAATAATTGTATACAATTTACATAGCACAAATAGTGAGCAATGCACGAAAATATGACAATATTCTATAAACTTCGTTAAGAATTACGTCCGGATCACTGCTTTTCGAAAAATTGTAATTTATAAAATTTTTCAATTTTACAATAGTGGAATGCAGAATATGAATAGTGTTAATAGATACAACTTTATTAGTTTTGAGAATAGTAATAATATATTTCTATTTATTTCATCTCAAATTGTTCTATTCGCACATATATTTGATAAAGATTAGTTGGACACCATGAAAATCTGTCACAAACAACGTCACGAAGAGTTATTTTAAAGATTTAATTTTGTATTGCACTGATAAATTACTCTTCTCTTATCAACAGGAATCCGGAGAGAATTTTCGACAACATATTACGTATTAAAGTCAAGCAAGTATTGTAAAATCCAATTGCTCATAAACATCGTTACGATATTAGCGGATGTTCATTCATTCCACAAAATGCTAACCTACGAGAAATGTGTTTTATGAATTGATCGAGACATACGATAAGCTGATCGCAAAGCACAAGATAAGCTGTGTGACATTTAAATACTGAAACAAATTTCTCAACGAATTAGTTCAAAGAGTAACACTTGGTAGTGAACATGAGATCAATTATTCTGTTCGTTTTTTACACATTTGCTGTACTTACTACAGTATTCGCATGTAAGTTTTGAAAAACGTATTTATTTTTTTAATTCTATAGGGTTTATTTATAAAATAATTTATTTTACAGATTCAAGCGATAATGTAGATGAATCTTGCGATTGTCGCAAGTTAAAAGAATGCGATTCCGTGTTATCAAAATTGATAATAAGTCATACAACAGATGCTGTTAAACATAAAGCATTTACTGAATATCTTAACCTAATCAACTGCGGATACGTACGTTTTGAATCGCTCGTTTGTTGTCCTGAAAAAATTCCTAGTGAAGTTCTTGAAATCGTGGACGATACAAAATACTGGACCGTATTAGAAGAACAGAAGAGTATAAAAAAATTAAGGCTCGCTATTGAAAATGCCAAATCTTCATCTTTAAATGATGTTGATCTATTTCCTCAATGCGGTTTATATTGGCGGCGAGAGGATACTAACAGCAACGTTACAGACCTTGGAGAATATCCTTGGTTGGCATTGTTGGAGTATGAAACTTCTGGTAAGTACAAATTGCAAATGTAAAATGGTATATTAAAAATTGTTTTGGCGTTAGAAAATAGTATTTTAATTTAGACTTTTCATAATAACATGGAATTTTTTTATTCTCATTTATATAATAATAATATTCCGTAAGTCTCACGTGAATTTTATCAGACTAGATATGAAGTGTAACCTTAAATATTCATCACTGTCATGACAATTAGCTCGATTAATTCTTTGTGGATTTTGGACGTCATAAATATCTATGCTTTTCGTTAGCCCGGGTTGTCATAAATTTACAACTTTTTTCGTTTCATAAAGCTAAAATTATTTCTATTTCTGGCATGTTGAGGAAAAGCTTACGTAACTTCATTTTCTTTTATCTCGATGACTGATAAAATGTAATTGTAATTTTTTCAGATCACAGCAAAAAAATTTTGTGTGGAGGTGCACTCATCAGTGATCAGCACATTCTCACATCAGCTGATTGTGTAACAACAAGAGGTAATATTCTAAGCAGCGTAATTCTAGGCGAGTATGATACAGATGCCAATCCAGATTGTATGGACGAAGGTAACGGCCATGAACCTTTATGTGTGGATTCTGTAAAGAAATATGACATCGAGCTTGTGATAATTCACGATAAATACAACGATGGAGTTCCTCATCTGAAAATACCAATGTTTAATGCTAATTCATCCAACGTTCATTCTAAAACAAACAACATTGCTCTCATAAAGCTCAGAGATAAGGTTCAATTTACAACTTATATTCAACCAATTTGTTTGCCACTGAGACAGCCAAAATATCAACGCTTCAAAGTTGCTGGTTGGGGAAGATCACTTATTCCAAATACCAAGGGATTCAATAAAAAATTATTATCGTATCTGACTAGATGCAAACCTAGCGAATATCAAAGGTTTGAAATCCAACGTATCTACGATGAAAATGAACATATTTGTGCTGCTGCTTCAACCAATCGCGTTGAACAGTCTTGCATCGTTGACAGTGGTGGTCCACTTATGGGTTTCGAGACAAGTGAAAGCGGAAGAACAAGACTGACGGTTTTTGGCGTTTCATACATGGATTTGATTTGTGAAAATAATGGGCAGCCGCAAAATTTACCCGGAATTTTCACAAATGTGTTTAATTATAAAGGCTGGATAGTTGAAAATATGAAGTTATGAATAAAATCAATTCTAAGTAGTTTAATTCATAATTTTTTAACAACTTAATTGTACACGGCAATTTAATGTAGTATCGTAGAAGTTATGTATTATAATTATGCATACTTTTTGAAAAGTTCATTAGTAAATATGTACTTTAACCTTAAAGTCTTGATGTATTTATTGATATAATGAATACTAAAAGCAGATGTACTAATATTCAAGTACTAATAATCAAGTATAATTGTAACGGTCTTGTGTTATTTTTGGAGCACCTGCATGCGACAACTCTTGATACGTAATGATCAGTTTAGATTATAGTAATCAAAGATTAGGTACAAATAAATGAATAAATTAGTGTGTGTGTGTGTGTATATATATATATATATGTGTGTGTGTGTGTGTGTGTGCGTGCGTGTGTGTGTGTGTGTGTATATATATATGTATATAGCATGTATATATATAGTTTATATGTACAAATAAAATCTACTTAATAAAACTGGAGACGAATAATCAATCTTATTTAATAGTCTTATTCTTAATGTAAGAATTGCATATTTTCGTAAAATAAAATATATGTCAAAGAATAATTTGCACAGAACAGAAATCACTATTAAATACCCGCAAAAGTTATTAAAGTAATGGATTGATAGAGTTTTGACTAGACAGATCGATTAAAAAAAGGCAAAAAAACGGGATACTTTTTAAGTTATATGTGTGTGTGTGTGTGTGTGTGTGTGTGTGTGTGTGTGTGTGTGTGTGTGTGTGTGTGTGTGTGTGTGTGTATGTATGTATACGATATAAAAAATCATTGTTTATCGTTGTAACTATTTTTTTATACAAGGCTTTACGCGTATGGCCAAGTTTGTTTTATTTACATACCGATTGTACTAGATTTGATTCTACACAAATTTTAAAATTTTGTTTATTTAACATAATGCTTGTCTATTGAACTTAAATAAAACACTATTTTCTTAAAAAATAAAATAGTATCTGACTAATATCATTCTACAGAAAGATTAACAATAAATTCATTGGCACAAAATAATCTACATATGATAATTTTACATTTGATCATTTTTTAATTTCAAAACTTAAGCATATAATTTTTTTAATATTTATTTATTTCTAGACAAATATTTTACGTAGAAAACTTTGGACTAGTTATTTTTGAATTTAAATTTCTAAAGAAAGTCAGCAGTATCTTTTTTTCTAATAAATACTACTTTCCGTTTTTAATACAATTTAAAAAGTATTATGTTAAATAAACCAAATTTTTTAATTTATGTAGAATCCAATTGCATACAATCGATAACTTTGCATGGAAAGAATGCGGTCCGCGTATTGAAAAAAATTGATCCCTACATCTTTATCATTTTTTTAAATATAACCCTTCTATTGAAAAAATGTTATCATTACTTGTTAAAAGTTAATCACGTTTGATTTAATTATAATTGACTCAAAGTGAAACAATAGTGCAAGATTTGAAAATAATCCAGTATTTCCATGCCCATTGCATTAACTCTGAATCATTCAAATATAAATGTACTAATCTATTAGCACCTGATCTTTGATTACTCTAATCTGAAATGATCATCATTACGTATGACGAAGAGCTACATACAGGTGCTTCAAAAGTATTGCGTTCACTGTTACAATTATAACTAGACTATTAGGATATCTATTTTTAGTATTAATTACGCTAATCAATACACCAAAAATTTCAAGTTTACAGTATATCTTTACTCTTGACTTTGCGAAAAGTATGAATAATTATAATACATAACTATAATACATAATTTATAGGATACTAAAACAAGTTGCAGTGTACAATTAAGTTATAAAATTATTGGAATTTGTTATATTCATGACTTCATGTGTTTAATTATCCAGCTCTTGTAAGTATACACATTCGTGAAGATTCCGGATAGAGCTTCTTGCTCTTCGTCTTGTTCGCAGGGCATGATCGCATACATAATGCCAAAAACAGTCGGTCTTGTTCTTCCACTTTCACTTGTCTCGAAACCGATAAGTGGACCACCAGAGTCGACGACGCAAGGCTGTTCAACACTATTTTTTGAAGCAGTAACACAAATCAATTCACTTTCATCGTAGATACGTCTAATTGCAAACTTTTTATAATCGTCAGGTTTGCATTGAGTCACATAAGATATTAACGTTTTATTGAATCCTTTGACATTTAATGTATGTGTTCTTCCCCAACCAGCAACTTGGAAGTTTTTGTAATTTGGTTTTCCCAATGGCAAACAAATTGGTTGAATGTATTTTGTAAATTGAACCTTCTCTTTGAGCTTTATGAGACCAATGTTGTATAGATCAACGTCGGATGTATCATTATTACTTGGTAGTATAAGAAAGGAAAGCCCTTGGTCGTATTTATGATGTATTATCGAGGATGAAATGTTGTACTTTTTTACAGAATCCACACATAGAGGTTCATGGTAGCGATCTTGGTGTATGCAATCTGGATTGGTATTTGTGTCATACTCGCCTAGAATTACACTGACTAACTTGAGATTTAGATTGGATCTTACACAATGACCTGATGTGAGGATATGCTGATCACTTATGAGTACACCTCCACACAAAATTTGTTTATGCTTGTCTGAAAAAATTACGAAGAAAAAAATTTTCAAATTTCCTTTGTTTTTGTTGAATCGTTTTACAATGTAAATTTTATCAGTCTTTGAGAGAAAAGAAAACGAGTTACGTAAACCTTTTCTTAACTCGCCAGAAAGAGAAATAATTTTAGTTTTGTGGAACGAATGGTACTATGAACCGAAAAAAGTTATAAATTTATGTCAGCTTATGTTAACGAACGAGCCAATTGGCATGATGATAATATTCGAGATTAAACATCATATCTAGTCTATTCAGGTAGAACCCGCGTTTTCACGTGAGATTTACGTAATGCTTTTATTTTGTAAATGACAATGAGAAAATTCCTTTTCCTTTTGAAATACTATTTGTGTAACGTTAAAAAAATTTTTCATTTGCAATTTGTACTTACCAGAGGTCTTATACTCCAATAATGCCAACCAAGGATATTTTCCAAGGCTTGTAACGTTACTGTTGGTATCTTCTCCCTGCCAATGTAGACCACATTCAGGAAATGGATCAACATTATTTAGAGATGGAGATTTGGCATTTTCAATAGCGAGCCTCAATTTTATTATACTGTTCTGTTGCTGTGACGCAGTCCAGTATTTTTTGTCATCCACAATTTCAAGAATTTCACTAGGAATTTTTTCAGGACAACAAACGAGCGGTTCAGAACGCACGTATCCGCAATTAATTAAGTGAAGATATTTGGTAAATGCTCTATGTTTCACAGCATCTGTTGAATGACTTGTTATTAATTTTGATAATAGGGAACTGCATTCCCTTAACGGACGACAATTGCAAGATGCATCTACATCATTGTTTGGAACTGTAAAGTAATTTGATTAAATATACCCTATAGAATTTATTACGTTTTTAGAACTTACATGTGAATGCTGTAGTAACTACAACAGACGTGTAAAGAACGAACAGGCTAATTGATCTCATGTTTACTACTAGGCGTGATTCTTTGAACTAACTCGTCCAGGAGTCGCTTTAGTATTTAAACGTCGTACGGTTTACCTTGCGCTCTATGATCAGCTTATCGCGTAACTTGATCAATTCATAAAACACATTTTTCATAGGCTAGCATTTTGGTAAATGAATGAGTATGTGCTAATATCGTAACGATGTTTGCGAGCGATTGTGTTTCACTATACTCGACCTTAATTCATAAAGTATTGTCGAAAATTCTTTTGAAAATCTTGTTGATACAAAAACAGCTACGCCTCAAGCGTAAAATATGCGTAATGGTGCCGTGCCGTGAAAAACTTTCTAACTTTAATGGGAATACAGCAATTGCGTCCCAATTTCTCAGTATGGTAAATATCGGATTTTGCCAAAAATCATTTCTTGGAGATTGTGCGGATAGCCAAGGCCAGTCAATTGTCACACCGTAGCAAAAAGTTGAGTAGAAAATGCACAATGTGATTATTACATAAAATAGTTTTTGCAAAAATCAACATTTATATAAACAAAAAATAGGCATTCATACTAAAAATTATCATGAGATAGTAATTAAAAAATTAAGTTTCAATTCTAATAAATGATTATTTTTGGATTTATTGCGAAATGAATAAAATGTAAAAATGAAAAATAGTTAATTATGCATCGTGAGGGAAAAGTAAGACATTACCTGACGGATAGGTTGCCATCAGGGCGCAACTATGTATGTTTTACTATTTAGGCGTAGGCGAGGTTAAGTCAAATTAGTTAATTAAGAAATTGAAATCGCATTGTAAAGTTCAAGTTCTTTATTCCGTAAAATGATAGAATATTTCCCTTAGATTATTACGCGGATCAGTAGAGTAAAATTATAGTGTAATTTCACTTGTATTTCTCTCGTTTGATAATAACATATTCCATTATTATGCTGTGAAATTGTTATAATTATTTTCTACTACTAATAGATAATCTCATTTTTGCATGTGTAAAATTGAAATAAATGTTGTAATATCACAATCGTTATTCGAAAAGTGGTGTAACTATTTAATAACAATTTAACCAATATTGAATAAAAATAGAGTAGTATTATAGAATCATTTCAGTTGGGAAAATTCCTTCGAGATCATAAAATAATTTGAATTAAAATCCTAAGTTTTCATCATTTTTTGTAGTTAAGATCTTACGATTTCATGTTCAGTCTGATATTAAAGAATTTTATCCTGTTCAAATACATTGTTTTATATGCTGTAAAACTAACGTTTATGCTGTTTGATATAATAATGTAAGCTTTTGATTCTACTTCTTGCGATATCTCATCAGAGTAGTAGTTTAGATTGATTCGGGTCCAGTAAGAACTTGTACGATAATTTTATTCTAATTAAATTTATCACAAAATTTGATATTCGTGTTGCGCTACTAAATATTTTTCATTACTCGTCGTCGCGTCGCCTCGCGTAATTGACCTCGTCGGCTGTTAATTGGTGCTCGATTGACGAACAATCGTCGCCTGACAGCAGGGCGTGTTCCATCGCAGCTAGCTCGCGTTCTCTCGCTCTCTTCTTTTCATGCGAAAATACCACAGATGTCAGCCGCATCTGTGTTTCTTCGCATACGCACGCGCTGCTACATTTTCTTTATATCGTCTACGACATTGAACGGAAAATCATTGTATATATTCCAAGCTGATGTATTACTGAATGCACACGTCTACATTAAACATTTAAAAATAAGGCGTATATCCTATTTTTTCAAAACTGGATAAATGGATAGACTTTTTTTTCATACACGAGCCGAATGCGCCGACTTGGCCAGTTCGCCAGTTCAATTTGCGGTCGGAAACCGCATAGCATTGTTTTACTCGCGGTCCCTATTTTTTTTTTTTTTTTTTTTAAGCCGCGTCATTGTCCATGTGCACACGGGATGAATTTTCTTCAATAATACGCGCGAGGGAGCACATATTGCAGCGAGTCAACGTGAAAAGACGCTCAGCACGCGACTTCCTTCCGTCCTGCCGAGTTTTTACTACGCGTATAATCTTTCGTTCCGATATGTGTGTTACGCTTCTTTTCCTCTGCGGACGGATATCCATATCCAGCTCTCGAGTTCTTTGACTGCACAAATGTTATGGTGGACTAGGTGTGTGTGTGTGTGTGTTTTTTTTTTGAGCGCGCGTTCTGTTGGAGCAGCCAAGTACAATTTACTTTGCAACCGCCGCGCGCATCCTTGCATTGCAATCGAAATTTTCTGCCACGATAACTTTGTCAACTGCGCTATATCCAGGTATGGTTTGATCATTGGAACGAACTTTATATGGATTTCCAAATATTGGAGTGGATCACAAGTATTGCGTAACAAGTCAAGATTGCATGACGTTTATCTATTATTGACGATTATTATCAATTCATTAAATCGCGCGTAAAACGACAATTAATCGACTAGAACGTGTTCGAGTAATTCGTAAAGTGAAAGCCGTCCTCGTGATCGCAAGTCAATCCCAAGACAAAAACATCGTACAGCCTGAAAATACCTGGGCCGCTCGGAAAATTCTCAAGGCCCGCGCATCGAGTTGGTCCCATAAAAAGTGCATCGCACAATGAGCATCCACGCATTACCAATACTCGATTAATCATCGGAGCACTATGCATTTGGATGGCTTCACTCTCAACAAACGAGGTACAGTGTGAAAAATAGCTAGCATCGAAGAGTCGATTGTTTGCAGATGAGAGTGGCGTGGCGTTGCGTCGGGGAAAACCACGCGGGTGGGCGCGCGAGCAAATGACACTCTCTTGATTTTCAATAACGAGCATCGTTAAGAGCTTTCACGCGCCGCTCTCTTTGAGATACTCGACACTCACACGTGCTGCTAGCCAATGTGTTTCGCGTTATAAGCTCTGTGTCGAGCTAAAGACCACGTCGTCTAATTCGGTCTTTCGTTAAGGGAAATTGCTTGTCCCTCGTTATAATGCACGTTGCGTTTCCCCCTCTTCTCTCGAATTTGTCATGGCTCCGTTGGTAAACTTTTATCGCGTTACATGGAAAGAGTTAATTAGTCATTGCCTATTCCAGTTTGTATCATGTACGATTGAAAATAATTTGTAACGGTATTCGCTGTAGCTAATTCTCGTATGTCGAAATTTCCGTCAGAGTTCATTGGTACGTAAGTTATTTCTAGTTCGATTACATGTCTCACAATAATTTGAAAAGGTTTGACCTCCCGGATCATTGAAATGCATGTATTGGCAACAACCAAATTACCAAATCGGTATTTTTTATAAAATTGGTCCTGAACCACTAGTACTCTCGTGAATGTCAAGATTTATCAAAGAAAGGAAAACAAAACGTATTTTGCACGAAGCAGATGTCTTGTAAAAAAAACCGATGAAAAAAGGACTGGAGTGATTACTCGTTGTCTAATTTAAAATGGTACGTATACATGTTTACTTTACAAAGCAATCGGTGTACTCGCATACGTACGCAATCGGTCAATTTTCATAATCTCTCATCTGTCTCGGAGCAAACAATCATTCCAAGCGACCGAATCAGACCACTCTCTCCAATAGCTATCCTCGTACGTCTCTCCTCATTACACGCGCGCGCCTTTGATCTCGCGCAGAGGCTTTTCATTCGCGTCATAATTGCCGACAGACAGACAAAAATGCGAGCTCACGCCTTGTTCTCCTTTCGTCATTCCTACCAGGAATCCCATATTTACGTGACTCCGGTGAGTCCCGGTCAAAAGACGAGTTTATTCATGCGCGATATCGAGCTTTTCGTTCCGCGATTAGTACGCGCGGATTGGCGAGTAGCAAAAAGCCAGGAATCGAATGAGCTCATTCACGAGGACGATAGGAAATATTTGTGTGCGATAACCTACTTTTTTTGCAGAAATTGGCTGGCCTGAATAGTACATTACTAAATTATGAGTGACTTGAATAAAAGTGTACATCATAGCTAGGCAAACAGTCTGATTAATTGTTTGCGGAATACATTCCTGAGGTGACATCTTGATGACGTGAATGTCGAAAAACTATACCTAGTAATTTCTTATGGCGGATACAAACTCCATAATTGATACAACGAATTTAAATTTAGAATTTGAAGTAGGCATTCAACAGCGACAACCGACCTCGTCATTCCAAAGCATAACGCCCGCCAAAACTTGGCAATCTACAAAAATAGCATCGCATCAGACTAATAGAGATTTATGAAAACATCCAAATCGAAAGTTCCCGACCAAACCAGGGTGTCCCGTTCCGTTCTCTCTAGCTAACAGCAAAAACATGTGTCACACAGTATAAAAAACAGATTCGCACCGCTGATTATTCCTCGCGCGCGCAGGCGTCAATTCATAAATTTTCACAAATCCCACTCTCCGTGTCGTTGTTGTCTCCCGCCCTCTTCCTTGTTTTTTCTGTGTTGTCTTGTATTCGTTTCCAGGAAAGAAGAGCGCTTAATCACTGCCTTTAGCAATTAGCTCGATGCAGTTTTGGAGTGTGCATACTCGCGTTGCATCGATGTACTGCACTACGTCACGGGGATATTCGTATCAGTTTTTTTTTTTCATATGAGCGCTTGCTTTCGCGAAAAACGGATGTAGCATTTTAATTCGAGTGTATGGATAAACAGATCTTTACCGTTTCACGAACTTACGCAACCGAGGAAAGACGATTGAAGTCAAATGAGAATTTGAAATGATAAGACGACGACGATGTGTACTTTGTTTGGAAAAGAGAAGGCAATAAGCCACGCGTTTATAAACGATACGTTCGAGCAATCCAATGGAATCACCGATGTGTTTCACAAAAGACAAGGAAAAACCGTTGTTGTTGAAAGCTCAATTTTTCGAAAAAAACCGCGCAGACCTTACTTGTGAGCATTTAAAATTTGCCTGTCAGCGCATTGGTCGCCTGAAGACGCCGGGCAGAGAGAAGCAAAAGAGACAACAACACGCGCCGCAGCACCCAGTAGAGGAGACAAGAAATAGCGGCTTGGCGTCTGTTGGA